CAGATATCAAATTTTGTATTAGGGTTCTCCAGAGACACAGAACCAAGAGAATATCTACCTATCTCATATGGATTGGCTCTGTGTCCCCAACTGAACCTCATTTCAAATTGTAATCCTCACGTGTGGAGGGAGGGACCTGGTGGGAGGTGATTGATTCATGGGGGCAGTTTCCCCTATGCTGTTCTCATGATAGTGAGTGAATTCTCATGGGAGCTTATGCTTTAAAAGTGTTTGGCAGTCCCCCTGTCCCCCGCCCCCCTCCAGCTTGCTTTCTTCACATCCAGCTTGTGAAGAAGGTGCTTCTTTCCCTTTACCTTCCACCATGATTGTAAATTTCCTGAGGCCTCCCCAGCCATGTGGAACTGTGAGTCAATTGAACCTCTTTCCTTGTAAATTAGCCAGTCTCAGGCAGTTCTTTAGAGCAGTGTGAAACGGACCAATTCTCTCTCTATCGTCTGTGTAATCTATCTCGAAATATTTATTTTTAAGGAATTGGCTCATGCAATTGTGGGGACTGGCAAATCTGAAATCTGTAGGGCAGGCTAGCAGGCTGGAAATGCAGGTGGGGTTTCTATATTCCTGTCTTAAAGCTCCATATACTTTGTGCATCTCATAGAATACATCTCATATGCATGTATGAGTTAAGAAAATAATAGTCCAAAGATACAAATCTTGAGAGACTGTCAGTGTGAATTCATTGTAAGCAGCTTAGCATCCTTTTCTCCCTGATACTGGCATCAGTGGAATGAAGGAATGAATAAGAGGAGTGCACATCTTGGGGGCAGCTCTGCGGAGGTGATAGGGGCACTGACTCTAGGGTCAGACTGCCTGGGTTGAGTCTGAGCTCTGTCTCTTTCTAACTCTGTGACTTCAGCTCCATCGCTTAACTTTTCTGGATCTCGATTTCCTTATCTTTAGAATGTCATGTTATCTACCTGTATTTGTCCATTTTCACACTGCTATAAAGATGTACCCGAGATTGGGTAATTTATAAAGGAAAGAGGTTTAATTGACTCACTGTTCTGCATGGCTGGGGAGGCCTCAGGAAACTTACAATCATGGCAGAAGGTGAAGGAGAAGCAAAGGCACATCTTACATGGTGGCAGGTGAGAGTGAGTGAGAAAGCAAAGTGGGAAGAGCCCGTTATAAAACCATCGATCTTACAAGAACTCACTCACTATCACAAGAACAGCATGGGGGAAACCACCCCCATGATCCAATCACCTCCTACCAGGTCCCTCCCTCACACCTGGGGATTATAAGTCAAGATGAGATTTGGGTAGAGACACAAAGCCTAACCATATCACTACCTTGTAGGCATTTTCTGAAGACTAAATCTGTATTAAGTACTTAGAACCTCATCTGGCACATGATAAGCATTCCATAAATGTTAACGACTACTATTATTTCTGAACCCAAACTGACATAGTGTCCCATAGTGGGGAAGGGAGTATGCCTATGATTCTTTAATTTTCCTTTGAAAGTTTTAGCCATAAAAGAAGAAAAGGGTATATTTACTGGAAAGGCAGGGATAAAATGATTATCTTTAAACAGATATGATTATTTCCCTAAAAGAAGCCAAAGGACTTAGCAAAAAGATTTTTAGAATCAATGGTAGCAGGGAAATGGCCATATGTAAAAGAAATACATAAAAATGAAACTTTCTCCAATATGTCAGTTTTAACTAATTAGAAAATATAGTGGTGGAGGGAAGCTACCAAATTTAAAGGTACCTTATGGTGGATGTCCTTTGTTTTATTTTATTTAAATACACACACACACACACACACACACACATACACACATATATATATGTAGAGAGAGAGAGAGAGAGAGAGAGAGAGCGAGCGCAATATGTGAAAATACAACAAGACCAAATAAGGTTTTTCCTAAGAAGTCAAGAAGAATTACATATTTATGTTTATATAATATATGTTATATATATGTAAAACTGTTATATTGGACTCTAATTCTTGAACTCTTAGGATGAGTCTTATATGGTCCTGTTGTATTATTTTTACATATGATGTAATTTGATTTCCCAATGTTTTCTTAGATTTTTGCATCTTAGATTTTCAGTGTGTCTTTTTGGTTAGGTTTTAGTACTAAGGTTATACCAGTTTCCTAAAACCCAGGGACTCTTTTTATCCTTTGTAAGCCTTAGAGAAGGTTATACAGTGAGGCAGTTGTGTAGTGAAAGGCAAGATGGTGCAGGTGACTATGGAGTCAGATTCTGTGCTTTCAGCCCTGCTTCTGTTTCCACCAGCCCCGTATGCAAGTTACACCATTTCTGCAAGCTTTGTTTTCCTCATCTGCAAAATGGACACAGAAGTAGTACCTACATCAGAGGTGGGTGGAATCAGGGATGGGGAAGGGTGAGAGGTCACAGATGCCCTGCTGTGAACCTGGCTGAGTCTGTCCACACTCTTCACCCACTTGCCTCTTCCTTAGCTGGTCCCCTCCTTTTCTCTGAACCTGAGATCTGGGGCCTCCCCGCTGCCTCAGCCTGCTTCCACCATCGTTGGCTCCCAGTTCCATGCAGGTTTCTTCATGTATAGGATTTTGTGTACAACAGCAGATAAGGTAGGAGGTAGAATATTGAAGCGGAGGAATTGTGATTAAACCTCTAAAAAATAGGACTTTTTTTTTTCTTCTATGCTTTCTTAAAGTCCATTAGGGTTTAGCTTAACAAACCAATTGCCTGGTTTCTCAGCACCTGGAAAAGATGGTGGGCTTGCTGTGTCTTGGCAGTCATAGTTTTCACTGAGGGGCCTGGAATCCCAGAGTGACCACCCTACATGCTCACCGTGGGTCTAGAGAATTATGTGGGGAAACACACTTACTCAAAGTGCAACTTTGCAATTGTTTGAAGATACAAGAAGGTACAGAATGGACCCTTTCTGAAATTCTCCAGAACTTGAGGCATTCTGAAATGTCTTCCCTGGCCAACTCATGCTTTTTCTCTCTGTGGGCATCGATAGCATGTCCTTTGTCTGCTATTCATTTGACATTTACCATTGACTTATAACTGCTGGTAATGCAAATTACGGAAAATCCTTGAGATTGGAAGACTAGGATTTACTGTTTCTAACAGTTAGAGCCCATCTCCCCGCAGGGGTTCACTGATTTTCTGCTCCTGGCTGCTGTCCCTGCTACCCCAGAAAACCTTTCTTGGCAAGTTAAACAAAAAGCTGTCTATAATTCAATTCAGTGCACTTAAATCAAAACTTTCTTCTGGTCTGGTCAGAAGAGTTAGAGGAGTGTTCATACCAGGGTTTTTGAGAGTGAGAGTTTTTTTGCGAAGAATATGTTTTTGCAGATATCCGTGTTTACAGGAATCTTGAACTTGTCTTCTGTAGACATTGTGTATTGGTTGCAAGCTTCTTGAGACTAACGCCTTGCATATAAAAAATGTAAAACAAACAAATGAACAAAGGAAAATGGAGGGGCTCACTGAATTTTGAGGGGACTCTGAATGCAGACTCTCTACCTGAAGCAGCTGCTCAGCTGGAGGCTACTGCATGCTTTGCAATTATGCTGCTGGGTTTCCTTTTTTCTTTAAAAGAATCTATATTAGTCTGTTCTATACAGACTAATGCTTTATGCTGCTGATAAAGACATACTTGAGACTGGGTAAGTTATAAAGAAAAAGAGGTTTAATGGACTCACAGTTCCTCATTGCTGGGGAGGCCTCACAATTATGGTGGAAGGTGAAGGAGGAGCAAAGGCACATCTTACATGGTGGCAGGCAAGAGAGTGTGTTTAGGGGAACTACCCTCTATCAAACCATCAGATCTCATGAGAGTTATTCACTGTCACGAGAATGTCCCCATAATTCAATTACTTCCCATGACTTGTGAGGATTATGGGAGCTACAATTCAGGATGATATTTCGGTGGAGACACAACCAAATCATATCAGAATCAACAAACCATTGTTTAAACCATACTTCTGTCTCTTACCTGGTCAGAAGAATAAAAAATGTAATTGATGTAGTCATTACTGTGAATTCATAATCACAGTATTAGTAGCGTGCCTTGGTGAGATCTGTGTTCCCTTCTCTCCAACACAACTACACACCAGGAGGCAGGAAAGCACTTCCAGATTCTGTTATACATTAAGCCCTGGTGGGGAGAGGTGAGGATGGACAGGGAATCCCGCTTCCAAGAGCCCCGCCATACTACCTGCTGCCGTGCTATTGGCTGGCTCTGCTTTTCCTTTGTCCACTGCTTTCCTCTTTCTCCAAACCTCAAAGCCTTTGTTCCTGCTGGGTAGCCAGGACTCACGTTTTCTCCCCTTTATCTCCTTCTACCAACTGCTCTGTGCTTTGGTTCCTCTCTGCATAAAGCAGGATGGGCCCTAGTGGGAGTGGAACTGGGGAGGTCTGCCCTTTTTCTTCCTCATGAGAAATACAGTGAGAAGGACACAGAGGTGAGACGGGGTGTGGGGTAAATTGGCATTTCTGATAATAGGTACTCTGTAAGCCTTCTTTTGTAGATTCCCATTTTCCTGTAAAAGTATAAGAGAAAAGCCAACAGTCTTGAATTGATACACAGTAAAGCAGTTCTGATTACCCCATGATGTGTTCCCTTTTCCTATATCTGCCCCCACCCCCACCAAAAGGTAAAAATAGCCATGAGAATGATCAAGCAGATCTGTGTTGTTACATTCCAGGAATTTTACTTCATGGACACAGATTTTAAAATTTTCCCAGCATGGTCAAGCATGACTATGTGCAGAATCTGTGGATGGAATGAGTTGATAGAGCTTGGCAGTGAGATGCATGTGCCAAACCAACAAAGTCAGACTTCTTTATTTTATTTTTGTGAAAGGCCTGCTATGTCAACATTATTTCAGGATAGATGCTTGTTCAGTGTGGGTCTCTGCTTCTCTGGATCCCCACTTAGGTGGGTACGTCAGAACCTTCACGTGGATTGACAGCACGTGAGGTGTCTCTGCTGACTCCTCTGATGCCCCTGTTTTGTCTCCTGTCTCGTTAGGCGGGGCAAGAAGCACAGCATCATCCTAAGGACGCAGCTGTCCGTGAGGGTCCATGCCTGCATCGGTGAGTGACATCTACCCTCAGGAACTAAACGCATGATGAAAAACGCGACTTATGGGAATAAAATAAAGATTCACTGTTATTCTATATGTTTGCACTAGCCCCTATCATTAGTTCTTAGAGTTTTAGTGAAACAATTTCCAGCAGTGATTCATTCCAGCTTCCTCTGCTGTTTGGTTAGTGACTGGAGCGTGAGGTAAGACAGCTTGCTGGTGAGGTTCCTTTTGGCAGTGCTGGGGGAGATGTTCTTCTGGGGACTGTGCCATTGTGAGCCTCTGGTGCATTGACCTGCTCTTCAGGTGCCTCCTGGTGGCTCTGTGAGGAGTGCCTGTGGGGAATTGGAGTCTGGGGCTCCAGGTTGTTATCAGATGACTAAAAGGAAAATATTGGGTCAGTGCACCACGATGAGGGTGCATGCGGATACAGGGCAAGATGCTCTTCAGCGAGCAAATGTATTTGTGGTTCAGAATGGCTTGCTGCGGGAGGCCCAGTTTCCTCCTTGTATCGGGCCAAGTTGCGGGAAGAATATAATGTCATAAAAAGGAAAAAAAAAAAGAACTAAATTTCACTTTATGCCTAGAAGTTTTTAGTATCTGAGTAATTTTGCTTTTGTTTAATATATGGTGTGGTTTTCATTTAATCCTCTAAACAAAAGAGCATAGATCATCCTGTTGAGACCTAGTCTGCACCCTAAATGTATTCATGGGTGGAGTGGAGGAAATTATTTCTGGTCCCTCCTTTACTCTGCTTCTCTATTGGAGACCCAGGGATGGGGAGACCCAGGGCTAGAGATGGAGGGAAATCCATGTGATTTCACTTCATTTGGTGTGGAGGGTGGTGAGGTTGCAAGTGTCTTGGGTAACAACCTTTGCCTGACTCTGCAGCCAGAGAATAATTGTGTGGGTGACTCAAACTTCAGGGACTGAAAGGTCAGGGTGTCAGAAGTATTGGTAATCTTGTTGGAAACAAAGTAAGACCCGTAGGACCTCCAGCCAACATTGACTATTCTGCTTCTCAACTGCTTGTAGCACTGAGTAAATGTACAATGTATATGGGCACTTATATTAAATCAGTGGCTTTTTTATTACCCGCTTCATGTTTTCCCAGTAATTTCATATGTATAAATCATGTGTATCTAAAGGAAAGGTCTGTGACACGACTTTGGATAAACTTCCCCCTTACCCGCATCCCAGATCTAGAACAAATCCAGGCACAAAACATGTACTGAACACTGTTGAAACACAGTTGATAACTACCAGAAATTTGGGACATGAATATGAATTGGTTTTTCCTAGGAATAGTAAGGCGGCAGAAAGCAGACTTGTATGAAAATGAGCTCAATCCAAATCCAAATGATTTTAAGGAAACTCCTTTGCCCTATGTACTCAAATATTTCAGGTACAGGATTTTTTAAAAACAGCTTTGTGTTATTGACTTGTCTTATGAACTTCCGTATCCTATCGTCCCATGTGATAGGTGTAAGATGTGTGACATCTTATCCTGTGGCATACTGAGCACTGACAGCCCCTCAAGCCCACACTCAAACCAGGACACATGTGCTCCCTGCTCTAGGGGTTGACCTGCGGCTGGTGGAGTCACGGTGCTTGCTCACATAACCTCCTTATGCCAATTGCACTGCTTATCAAATTATGTAATTTAATGAAATAGTACCAAATATTTCATACACTAATTAAATATGACTACCTAAAGGTCACTGCTTCTTTGAAAGTTCACTCTTTTGGAAAAGACTGAAAATTAGTCACTACAGAAGCATTTCTGTCAATGTAAATGTGTTATGATAACTATAAAAGGTGAGGGGGAATATTATAAAAATCTAAGAGGATTCTACTCTTCATAAGCATCTTGAGCTCTGTTAGACTTCAAAGAAACTGAGACTGGAAATCAGACCTTGTTATTGGAGTGAGTTATAAAAGAAGGTCTACGTGGAATTCCAATGGGTAGATCCGTATTCAGAGAACTATTTGTGCCTCATCACAGGTAGACTGGCATGTTTCGCTGTAATAGCTACGAGTGCAAAATGTTTTAAGGTCTTGTTTATGTTTATGTATTTTTTATGTATTGTTTTCAAAAGGATTTTCTGCTTTAATCAGCTTTTACCATTAATTGCCTCAGGCCTGATTATGTCAGATGAGAGGATTTGGCTCAATAAACTAACAGCAGCACCCAAAAAGGAAAAGTTTTTCCTTTGTATTAAAAGTCTTAAAATTCCATTTCCTACTATTAGCAAGATCTGGAATAGATTTATTATAATAGCACTAAATATTATCCTTTGGTTATGTATAGAAAATGGAATGTGTGCATCATGTTCATGAAGTACCTTCCCCTGTTGTGACATATTCTTTCCTTTTCTGAATGGCAGTGTTCATTGAGATTTCTTAGGGATAAAGAAAACAATACCTGGAACAATTTTGCGTCAAAATGACAATGGGAAATATGACAAGGAGAAAATAAACCTTTTTCACTTCAGTTGTTTTAGTCCTTGTTTCTTCTTAAGGTTATTTCCCTCTTTGCCATAGAAGAAATAGTTGAAATAGTAATACTACAGGCGTGGGGCACAGTGGCTGCTGTCTCAGCCTAGCACCGCATGCAACTCCCCTGAAGACGTTCCTTCCACCCACGACTGGCCTGGAAGGATGCAGGACCAGCTTTTGTCTCCTGGGCCTAAAATGCTATCAAGTAAATGTCTCAAAAATAATGCTTTCCTCACCCTACATTCTCTTCTCCTTCATTCCTGTTTTCATTAAGTAGAGGAATGTTTAGATCCAGGACTGCATGTTAACGAGTTAGAGGTGACATGCTTTTGGAATTCTCTAGTGTTCACTTTGGAACCCAGCACCCATTGGGATGAGTGTGTGGTGGGTGAGCCTTTATGGTTAGCCCAGCAACCCTCACGAAAAATGAAGGCCACAGGGCTCTGCTTTGATGGTTACAGCTAGCAGCTGAAGCAGGTCTTTTCTGATAGTGTAGCGGCTCTGAAGCATTTGGCAGGAGGTTGGAATGAGATTTTGGTATAGAGAGAGGCCTCAAGCTTTTGTACCTCTGTGCTTATCTCCACTGTAATTTTTATTTCTTTTGTGCATTTTTGGTATGAACACTTGATATTGCAGCGAATGCTGCAGCGCTTGCCTTCTTAATCTAGCTTCGATCTTTCAAAGAAATGAAAATTTTGATGGTCATATTGTGGGCATACACTTACAGATAAGAATTAAGGCATGTATGATAGACATGAGAAGTTTGTATTTTATGAGGTTAGCTAGAGAAAATAAATTTTTTGGTCCCTGAATAGTGATCCTATTTCCAGACACCAGAAAAATGTTCAGAGGGCCAACTGGCTCTGATAACTAAATCTCATCATGAAAAGAAAGGAACTAAAGAATTGTGGGGTAAGGAATGGAATCTAGGATTTAAAAAAAATAAGGTTTGAAGTTGTTAGGACCCTACAGTTAATATGTGAGTGTTTTTTACTGGCTGGCTTTGAAGGCATTTTGTTGGGCCAAAAACCTCTGGGCTTCAATTTTCTGAAGCAGATCCTGTCTTCCCATTAAGAAAGTAAAACCCTGCGATTGATTCTTTGGTTCCAGGAGGCCTGTCCTTTCAAGTGTCCAACAATGAGTTAAACAAAAGTGTAAAATTTGGGTGAAGCCTCCAAAATGTCATTTATACTTGCAGCTGTGAAAGAACCCTGGCACAAAGGGCCTTTAGAGGCATTTGAGAATCCTATGAGATGATGAGGTCTGCTTGTGAGGGACAGAGATGAGTCAGGCAGAGGCTGCCAAGGGGGCTGAAGTGACTGATCTCTGCATAAGAGGCATCTAATTACTCAGATGGTCAAGTCACAGGGACAAAAGCAACTTTTAAAGGCAAGAAAATGATATGAGAGAAGGCTACTTCATCCATTAATGCCAGTTTCCAGCAACAGAAACATCAACAGAAAAAGCCATCAATGTATAATTTGCAAGGCATTTTTCTCTTGCAGGCCCTATCATGCAGCCACGTGCTTTACACTATATTGTTATAGCAAAGAGATGAATTATAAACAGTGCAACATTTCCTCAAGAAGAACCTTCTAGTGCAATAGTAATGAAGGGGATTCATCTCATAGCCAGCCGATTTAGGAGCATTGGCCCCCTGGGGCGCTGTGTTGAGCAAGGTCCTGAGGCTGTGTGCAGTCTTAAGGGGAAAGGATCCTGCATCGGTACCCACTTCTACTGGTGGTGATGGAGGTGGTGTACGTATGTGTGCCATTGGGTGGCAGCTCAGGTGAGGTGCAGGTTTTGTCCAGTGCTTGAGCCTCCTGTAGCTACAGCATACGGGTCCCTGGGCTTCTGTATTCGAAGGGTGGGAAATGAGCTGTAATTCATGACCCCCAACCCCTGTCCCCTCTCCTTTCTTCCCAGTCCCTTTCCAGGTTCTGCCTTTGTTCTGCAGTCTGTGAATCTGAGCATGGCTTCTCTCCCAGTTCATTGTGTTTTCTGACCAGGCCAGGTACCACCTTCTTCCACCTCTGGGTGTCTTTCCCTCTAATCAATTTGAGCTGGTTTCTCATAGCTGAGCCCTCCCGGCTTGCAGGGAGGCCCCTCTCTAGCTTCCTTTTCTGACATTTCACTAGCCCCTAGGTTGGCCTTTGGAAAATTAGCTGGATTCTCATGTGGTCCTTACTGCTTCTTGGCTCTGGGTCAGTTAGGAATTTCCATAAAAACTAGAGGTTTCCTATGGGAAACAGCAAATTGTCTTTTTGACATTCTTGGCCTGACAGCACTCGGGTGCTGTTTCTGTGCTAGCTAATAAGGATGAGGCTCATGGAGTACTGTGTGCTGAGAGGCGTGAGGCCTGAATGGTGATGCGTGTGTGCTTGGGCACCTGGCCCCTCTGGGTGCTTGCTGTAGGATCCACACAGATGCAGCTGGCCCTCTGTGGTCTACTCCATGGCAGACTCCCCACGTGTCCGCTGTATGCTGCAGAAAGGGAATTAAGCTGGCTGT